GACTATCCATGGAGCACCTTATAGGTTTTAGCCCAATTCAATAAACCATGGATCATTAGCCCACTATAAAGGAATGAATGATTTACACAATCAACCCCATATATTTAATTAGTCTCATTTTGATCACCAAATTAATTCTAAACTAATTCTTGATCAAAACTAATTAAATAATATTATTAATATATTATAACTTATAATATATTAATAAACCATAAGTGTCATTTCTCTCATTTAGTCTATCCAAATGTTGCAATGCCATGCAACCCAAATGGACCATGCCAACCGGGTCAAGTATATTACAGAAATAGTTATGAACTTAGAAACCTAATCCAACACATATATGTTCTATCATAACCCGATTCTTTTCCCAACAACGTATAAATACATCTAAATAAAAAAAACATTAAAAATGTTTTTAAGGTATAAAAATATATAAATATGTTTTTTATATGTATTTATAATATTTATATGTATAAATATATTTTTATATGTGTAAATATGTATTTAAAATATATTTATATATGCATTTGTTTAATACTATTAATAATAACAAATTAAAAAAATAATAATATATTTATTTGAGTTTTCAATAAAATAATATAAATATAAATAAAAAATAAAGGTTTTTTGCAGAAAAGTCCAAATATTTTGGGTTAATTTACAAAATAGTCTCAATATTTTGGGTCAATTTATGAAAGTCTCAAATTAATTTGTTACCGACTGAACCGGGAAAAAATGGTCAGAATGCAACATTTTACCAGTTTTTATGACTTTTTTTTGTAAAAAATAAATAAATTAGGACTATTTTGTAAACTGATCCAAAAATATTAGAACTTTCCTGAAGATTTCCCTATTATATATAGGCTCGTTTAGCCTCACAAGCTCACTGATTGAAGCTCGACTTGGGCCCGTTTAATAAACGACTTTTATATTTAGGCTCGAGCTCGGCCCAGGATCGTTTGATTAGATCTTGAGTCGAGCTTTTAACGAGTCGATCCCTAATAACTCGGCTCACTTACACTCTAGAGACTTTTGAGATTGTGTTGACTTAGAAATTAACCAATTATAAGTTATAACCTTGCGCACATACACCTTAATGTTGCATATTAACATCATGTTCTCCATTTCTTTTTTTGATAATTATTGGTGATTAAATTATCGATTAAGTTGATAAAAAAATCTATTCACTATATAAAAATGTGTAACAAAAATTAAACTATATTTTATGTAGATACAAAAAAAATAATAATAAAAAAAAGCGAGAAAGATATTCAGGTCCAAACAAAGTTACATCGTATATTTATACCATCCTCATGATATGAATCAACAAGTATTTATTGAGAAAATTCGTCAAATAACCAAAGAGAACGGAGGGTTTAAAGATTTTGACCATAAAAAAATTTGATTTTGGTAAATGGCCATCACTTCCGCAGAGGGTGTTTTGCGGAAGGCTTAAATCCTTCTGAGGGAGGTGAATAATTTTGCGGAAATGAGGTGGAAGGGGTAAAATTATAAAATCACAAAAAAAAAGTTGGTTCTCACTTTGTTGGCTGCGGAAGTGACGACTTTTTGGAAGTGAGAAGACGAAGAAGAGATGTCGACGAAGGGCAGAACACGAGGATGGTGAGGCGATCCCGATTTTTGCCATGGTTAGCCGAAGAACAGTTCCTCAAAGGTGTGCTGATGAAGAACAGATCCGCAGAGCCTCAACAACCTTTCCGCAGAGCCCCCTCCGCGGAAGTATGCAATAAACCGTTTTTTTTTCTTTTTCCTCTGTCACCTCAATTCCTCGTTAATATTCACATTATTCAGAAGGTAAAAAGCTTCCGCAGAGCCCCTCTGCGGATCCCTTGGTCATTCTACAAAACTCAAATTTTCATGGTCAAAAGTTTCAAACACCCCCTTACCGTTGGCCATTTGATGAAATTTCTCGTATTTATTTGTTTAAGTCAAATTTAGATATCTACTATAAAATTTAACAAGACTAGATAAATTATAAATCACGATTAAATTTCATAATTTTTTAACAGTTTGTATAACAGATAAATACTTACAAAAATATTTTACAAACAATTTATTGCTATATACTGTTTTAATTTTGTTGTAACAGTATATCTTTAAAGGGAAAGGGTTTTCTATCTTTTGCATAAAAAAAGTGATGATCTTTGGGTAGTTATTACCCACCTGAAATACCATCAAACATACCTTCCCGACATTTATTGCTCGAGCTGTTCCACATCTATCTCCCCAATCCAGTGATTCAAATCTATGATTCAGTAGAAGAACAATGGTCAGTTTTTACTAAATTTATTCGCTTATTTACTTCTCTTAAGTTCTGACTTGGTCATAAGTATTGTATAAAGATACCGCTTTGATCGATCCGTGTGTTCTTATTGCAACCAAATCGGAGTAACTGTTGTGCTCTTTTTCCTCCCGATTCTCCTTATTTGTGTCTGTAGAATGGATTAGCAACTTAAGTGAATAATCTAGCGTATAAATTTGTTGTCGGTGATGCAAAATGAGAGATCCCAAATTCCCAATACCTCCTATTCAGGAAATATCTACGATTTTCAATTTGAGATGTCAAAAGGGTAGCATTTAAGTTTCCTATAAATTTCTGGGAATATTTTTTGTATTAAATTCAATTCTTTAACAGGTAGTACTATAGAAATTAAATTCTTATGAAATCGCAATAAAATCGCTGTTTTGTTCTTGAAAATTGTGGGTTTGACATCCAAAATCATGATTAGGGTATCTACTGTTTCAGTCAGACCTGCACAAACTGATTATTTTTAGTATTTTGTATGCAATCAAATGAGAATCAGCAATGCAGTGCATCTTTTTTTAGTTTAGATCTATTAGGCCATCTCTCACCAAAAAAAGTGATTTCTGGTTTTCATATATCTGACTAGGGATGTGCGTTTGGACCGAATACCCGAACCGAAACCGAAACTCGGACCGGACCGACCCGAATTAGGATCGAATAAGTTATTTGGGTCGGTTCTCGGGTATCTATTTTTGCCCAATTCGGGTTTCGGGTTTTTCGGTCCGGGTTACCCGAATAAAGGTTTAATCGGGCCAAATAGACTGACCCGGAAAGTGAATAGTCACTTGAACCGAATAACCCGAATAAACCGAAATGACCCGAATAACTCAAATAAACCGAAATGGCCCGAATAACCCAAATAAGGAAATTCTATTTTTAGTTCAAGAAAAAAAAACATTAATTTAATTTTTTTTTCTTGAACTAAATATAGAATTTCCTTATTTGGGTTATTCGGGTCGTTTCGGTTTATTCGGGTTATTCGGTTCAAAAACATAGTGTAAATGTTTGTTTGGGTTATTTCGGTCCTTTCGGGTTAATAACCAAACCGAAACCCGTATTACCCGAACCGAACCGACCCATATTAGTATATTCGGTCCGGGTTTCGGTTCCCACTTTTCGTCCAATTCGGGTTTCGGGTTATTCGGGTTCGGGTCGGTTCCGGCCCGAAGCACATCCCTATATCTGACTTAGGTCCCGTTTGATAGTTTCTGTCTGGGAAAGTGCTGTCTGGTAAAGTGCTGTCTGGGAAAGTTTTCTGACTGGGAAAGAAACCATGCTGTTTGATTGTACATCTGATTGACTGTTCTGAATGATGAAAAAACGTCATAATTCAATAAAAAATAAATTTAAAAAAAGTTATTTTAAAAAATTAATAATCCAATAAAGAAAGAAAGAGGCGGGGTTTGGTGTATAATTGTCTTTCCAGCCCATTCAGCCAGAAAGATATGATTTTGGGGCTATCTGGGAAAGACATATCTTACCGGGAAAGACCTATTCTTTTGTGCAAATCAAACAGTCTTTCCGGTCCATTCAGCCAGAAAGATCTGTTTGGACCTGGAAAGATGTGTATCAAACGGGACCTTACTCTTTGCATTTCATCCCATCAGGGAACCAAATAGACCTTTGGAAATGGCTGCACGTGTAAAACATAAATTTTAGAATCTTGATTTACAAAATAATGTGATTACCCGATCATAACAAGAACGTTGTTTCATTTGATTTAGGAGCACATCTACATCAAACCCTACATATTGCTAACTGCTGAACCCTTTTTCTTGTATGCTTGTTTACAGGAGAAAGAAGCAAAGAAAGAAGCTTTTAGAAAGTATTTAGATTCTAGTGGCGTTCTAGATGCTTTGACTAAAGGTGCAGCTCACTTGACCACATAATGATAATGGTGTTTAGAATTAGATACATTACTTGTTTCTCAAAATAACCTGTCTTTTGAACTTTCTGTCATATGTAGTTCTTGTGGCGTTATATGAACAGAGTGACAAACCTTCATCAGCTGTTGAGTAAGTTCAAATGAATCTCTGAAGAATCTGATTTTCCTTTTCTTGAATGTTTCATGTGGAAAAACTTAAAAACTTATTATTTGGTCAACAGGTTTGTCCAGCAAAAACTAGGTGGTCCTAGCTTGTCTGAATATGAAAAATTACAAGCCGAGATGTCTGATTTGCAAATTAGATATAATGAGCTTTTGGCACTTCATCAACAAACATGTAACCAGGTATACTTTTTCCTACTCTTTTTGTTGATTCATCTCATCTCATCATAGCATAATAATTAATAATGGAGGTTTGTTTTTTTTGCAGCTTGAGGAGTTAAAAAACACCCACACTGTAGTGTCATCACAAGAGAAGGTTGAAGGGGAGCTTCCAACAGATAATTTATGAGGGTATTTTGGTAAAATACGAAGAAGCAAGATGTTACAATAACCACTCTGTATACAAAAAATTCATATTTCCCTTATCTGATGCTCTGCTATGCTGGATGCTAATTTCATTTTTATTTTATTTTCTCATATGTTGTACTTTGTGACACTATTTCTGAGTTCTCACCTTTATGCTAACTTCAAATGTGCTACTTATTTACCAAAAAGTTGTTAAATTTTATGATAAGTATATGAGAATACAAGTACATTCAAATTTACTTCACAACTTTAAACAGAAGATTAGAAATCATTAGAATTCCCTAAAATGGCATCCTTGATCAGGTGAAGCTCATGGATAACAGTAGCTGTATCTATTCGATGCCTTGGTGACTCCATGGAGCATGAAACCCCAATTTTAAGCAACATAAGGCAACACATGTCGTTTTTCACATAATCTTTATCTTCCTTATTGCTTCTTATGTCATCACCCTTCAGAAGAATTGGATCAATAACCTCAACTGAACCATCATCCATGGCTGCTTTAGCATAGTTGTGTAAACCGACACCATCTTGAAACATAGCATATGTAGGTTTCTTACCTGTCATCATCTCCAACAACAAAATTCCATAACTATACATATCTCCACTTGTTGACACCTTGCTTCCAACCCCATATTCTACAATAAATAAATAAAAATTCATTAAATTTTCCATTCACAAGAGATAATGTTATCAAGTTATAAATTATGAATTAAGAATATAAGATACCTGGAGCTGCATAACCGATGGTTCCTCTAACTCCAACTGAGCTACTATGATTCCTGTTTTGATGCTCAGAATCAAGAATCTTTGAGAGTCCAAAATCTCCAACATGTGCAACCATGTCTTCATCAAGTAGAATGTTGCTTGGTTTCAAATCACAATGAACAATTGTCTTTCCACCATGATTATGAAGATAATCAAGTGCGTAAGCAACATCTAATGCTACACACAGTCTTTGTAAGAGATTGAGTTGAGGGACCTCATGATGCAACCATTGATCTAAAGTTCCATTAGACATGAACTCATAAACTATAGCTTTGAATTCGTTTCCTTGAAAGTCAATCCCACTGCAACAAGTTATCACCTTTGTTAAGTTTCTATGTTTGGCGTTTCTGAGTGCTTCACACTCAGATATGAAGCTCTTGGAACCACCTTTACGATGGAGGTTTAGTACTTTGATAGCAACAATCACATCGTCTTTATCGAGGTATCCTTTATAAACTGATGAAAAGCTACCTTCACCTATGAAGTTCTTGTTGGAGAATCCATCGGTTGCTTTGTGAAGCATTTCGTAAGAAACTTGAACGAAGGATTCCCCAGAATTAGGCTCGGATACTTCATCTTCAATCTCCTTTCTTCTTCGATAGAACACGCAAAACAAAACCATGGCTATACAAATCAGAACTGAAACTATCGAGATGGATAATATAACTGCAAGGCTCAACCGATTTTTTCTCTTACGGTTTGTTGAAGGGCAGTTAGGTAACCGGAGTTCAGGTAGCCCACCACAAAGACCATTGTTGCCGATAACAGAAACTGAAGATCTGTTACCAAACACTCCTTGGTTCGATACCTCCCCTTCAAAACCATTAAATGATAGATCGAGATTCACCAAAGGAATTTCTTCCAGATAACTTGGGATCTGACCAGTGAAGTTATTACGTGAAACGTCAAGGTTTTGGAGGGCGCGCAAAGAGCTCAACGATGGTGGAAGAGAACCCTGAAAGAAGTTGTTGCTTATGTTTAGGTTTTCAAGGCTGCGGCAGTTGCCTAGGGTGGTCGGAAGGTTGCCTGAGAAGCGATTGTTTGCCAGGATAATTTCTTTTACGTTTTGAAGATCGCCGATCTCTCGGGGAATCTGTCCCGATAAATGGTTGCTACCCAAATTTAGCGTAATGGATAACGACGAGAGTTCAAATAGTTGACTAGGAACGTCTCCGGTAAGGTTATTCCGATCGAGGGTTAACTCTAGCAGCCTGTTACAGTTCCCTAAACTTAATGGTATGGAACCGTTCAGTTCATTTAACCCCAAGTGAAGTTCAATCAGCAACGATAGGTTTCCAAAAGAACCAGGAATGTTTCCTGAGAAAGAATTATTTGTAAAATCTAGCATCCGTAGATTTACAAGATTGCCAATGCTCGCCGGAATTGTGCCGGTGAGTTGATTACTCGACAAGTCGAGGGAAGTTAGGCCGGAGAGATTCCCAACCGATGAGGGAAGGCCACCGGAAAAAGAATTCGAACCAAAGCTCAGAAAATACAGCATAGTCGACAAGTTTCCAAGAGATTCCGGCAAGAAACCTTTCATCTGATTGAACCCAAGATCCAACACTCCTAAGTTATTGCAAATCGACAAAGCATCTATAAATTTCATTTCATCGTTTTCCCCACTCCCGAAATGATTCGAACTTAATGACAAGATTTCAAAACTACAGGCGTCCCGGGAACTGATAACTAGCTTTCCGGAGAAATTGTTTCTAGCTGCATCTATGACTCCTAATTCTGAAGAACTGAGAACAGAGGGGGGAAGAGGACCTGTAAATAAGTTATCGGGTATAGAAAGAACTTGAAGACGAGGCATGATTGAACCTAAGTTCATGGGTAGTCTACCCGAGAGTTGATTACTATCGAGGAATAGTTGTTCTAAAACGGAGAGATTGTAGAAAGAAGGTGGAAGATTACCGATGAGGTTATTTCCGGGCAATGCAAGTCTTCTCAGGTTAATCAGTCGGTGGAAGAAATCAGGAATGTTTCCCCCGAGTCCACAATTACCAAGGGAAAGAGTATCTAGGCTAGTAAGATTTCCGATGAACAGTGGAATCCCACCTCCTAGATTGTTCCGGTGAAGAATGAGTAAGTTTAGCTTGGATAACGATCCAATCCCATCGGGGATTTTGCCGATTAGATTATTGTTACCTAAGTGAAGCGCTTGCAGGTTGGAGCAATTCGATAAACTGGCGGGAATGTTGCCCTCGAAAGAGTTGTTGTAAAGACGTAGTTCATCTAATCGAAACAACCGGCCAATTTCAGGCGGAATCTCGCCGGAAAATGAGTTGTTATGGAACCGAATCGACCTGAGAAAGCTAAGGTTTCCGATGGAAGGAGACAAGGTTCCGATTAAGCCTCCAGACGAGAGGTCCAAGGCGGTGACTTTTTGGTGGCGGGAACTGCAAGTGACACGTTGCCATTGGCAGAATTGAACGGAATCGTTCCATGAAGTCATGATACCTTGTGGGTCATCTTGAATCATGGATTTGATTGCTAGCAACGCCGCGAGGTCACCGACGACACCGGTGGTGGTGTTCTGAGCCGCCGCCGTGGGGACGACTGAGGAAAACGCTGCAATGTGCACCAAAGTGACGAATAGAAATGTAAACAATGATAGCCGTTTGGTTTTGGCACTCATTTTTACTTAAATCAAATCAATTTTCAAATCTGATATTTTTTTTTTCTATAAATGGCTCTTCAATATAAAGGAGGCGTCTCAGCTGACCAAGTCAAAATTATCCGGTTCGATTATGACGTGAGTGGGCTGGTTTTGTTTTGTCTTCCATAGTCCACAATAACATTCTCATGCCCATTTCCTTTTTTATTTATATAGATATATTTAACCAATGTCAATTAGTGGATTATTTTTATTGAACTAATTTATAATTCTTACGAAGTCTAAGATCTCGATTTTGAGATGATTCACCCGTTACTTATACAGTTATACGACAATATGTATTATCATTAACATTATGTATTTATGTTATCTTTTATTATTAATAACAAGTAAATATTTAAATTTATAAAAAGATACTTATTATATTCTGTTTAACGGATTCGCATTTATGAATTATGATAGAGTTGAAGTTCGTACCCAGTAAAGTCCAGCTAAATTGATTGTGGGTCACCCCATTCAAGTCAACGCTGCAAACTCAAAAGTCAAAAGTCAACTACAATTGATTCTATTTTATTCAGGACATCTTGGACTTTGGAGGATCTGTATAGGGTTAGGTTCTGTATATAACAAATCAATTATATTACGATTGATCGAGTTATTTCACGTTAGACTTTTACATCAGCATGGCGCTTGGCCATACGTTTGAATTTTGGGTTTTATGATATATACCAGTATATTTTTTTTAAATATCTTGAAATAAAAATATATCGTTTATTAATCCATACTATCAAAATTGTTATTTGAGAAAGTTATATGGGAATTTGAAATTTTGAACAAAATCGAGAACATGTTTCATTCATTCTTTTGTATTACTTCGTCAACTTGCGCTTAAATTTCACAAAAAAAAACGCACATTTTATATAAATAATAAAATTATATGTTAAGAAGAGACAAATATTATACTACTCCAGACTAGTACTCTGGATGTGAATTCTGAATAAATCACGGGTTTTATAATTTTATAAATTAAGTATTTAAACTTTTAATAAGAGTATTCTTGTGCATGTGTTTTCACAATATGCAATATCCATACAGCCCACTACGAAATCCCGTGATTGCTGTTTGGCATATTATGCGTATCTACTTTTTATAAATTTTATCAAGATGGCTAAAAATATAATTTATCGTCAAAGTCATTATAGGTGCATAAAATGTGGATTGAATAAAAGCAAATTTTGCCATATCAGATTTCAGATCATCATGATTTGGGGATATCGGATAGAAATTGTATGATTTTTCAGATAAAAATCCGGTTTCAAATTGTTTGGGTATCAAATCCATATCAAACGGATCAGATCTACTTTTGAAAATCTAAAAGTCGGGATTAGGTTTGAGCAATTTAGTCGTTGGTTGTTAATAAATTGTCAATACTTTGTATTTTAGACCTTTAATGGTTTTGTAGACGTGATCGATTATTCGAGTTTTTTAATATTAATTTCGCCAATCCACTAATATATGACCGGGATTACTAGTTTCTTTGTTAATTTGACATATATGAATCTTACCTATCAGTTACTAGCTATCAGCTTAAAGTTATTTTTGCTGAGCTTCAACTTATTTTTGCCAAGCAAGCTCATATGCCTTGATTCACAAATATCAATATCATCCTCATAACAATTCTCTGTATATCATTGCTATTGTGGGAAACTGTTGGGGAATTCGAAATAGGGTTATGGGAAATCTGGATAACAAACAGGAATCGTGTAAACACTTTCCTTATTTGATATTTCGACCCTATATTCCTTGGGTATCACGAAATTCAAACTTGGGATAATTCCTGATGCAACAATTCCGAGTTTAGGCACAAAAATCAGAATCAATTGAAGAAGATGAAGTGAAAATCGTTCTATGTTTCTGCGTGTTTCAATAGTCGTTTTTTTACAGACTTATACAATCAACGGATAAGTCTAAACAGTTTTCATCTTTTAAGAATTACAAATTAAACCTTTTAATGTCTTTTAAGAATGACAAATTAGACCTTGTAATGTCTTAAAACTAAAATATTTAGTAAATACAAATGTGCACTCCCGCACCTCCTAACTTATATTATAACTAAAATATTATTCTTGAAACACTTGTTAAATCCATTACACTAAAATATATTTGGTGATAAAATCACCAACAAAAACCAATGAGAAGGAAGACATGGCCACAGGATAAGCCTGCCTAGAGTTTGCCGCAATTATTTAGTAATCTATGTTATTTGCGTTATCTTTAATTTTTATGTTTTCTTTCATTATGTAGGATTCGAGGATGACATGTGACTTCTTTTGAGTGGATTGGCCCAAAACTTCCAAATAAATGGTACAAAAGTCTATTTATTGGTGCATATGACACTAATCGATTATTTTGTAAAAAAATAAATCTAACCAAATTTATTAACTACATTTCAAACAACAGCCAAATATTAAAATATATATATAGGAACAAAAACCGAATATGGTCATTTTTTTGCTAGACAAAATTACATATGACATCTGACCAACTGCAATTTCCTCTATTCCATCTGCAATTTCCTAATGAGTATAATTATTTTCTTCAAACTTTAAATACCTTGGAATAATAAGATCGGTGACCAAATCGCAACTCATATCCTTGAAATAACAACCATTTAGATAAAATTGTAGCCCATTAAGGTAAATTTGTGATTAGATTGGTCATTTGTTATTTTTTTTTGGCTATTTTGATACTAGCTAATGAATTTGATTAGATTTGTCTTTTTTCTTGTTTAAATGATGACCCAATAATCAACCCGGTCATATATTGTAGTTATATACTCTTTCATTTAAGTTTTTACAAGGTTGCATTTTTATTGTTGATTGAAGCATGAATTATGACTTGTCAATTGTCTTGGTAAACATGCTACATATAACGTTATGTTATGCATGCCACAATGGACTTACTAAGAAGATTATAATATGTTGTTCTAAGGGGTTATTTGGTAGAATTTGAAAGATTCAATGTTGAACTATTAAGAGTATCGAATGATTCAATGTTGTTTATTAATGTTGATAATCAGAACTATTGATGAGAAAAATTATCATGTTACCCATATAACAAAAGCAAATTTAAATACATATCATACAATCTTTTATAATACAAATTCAAATACATATAATACAATCTCTGACAGTTACAACTTGAAATGCGGTGTTCAAGTGGATGGATATTCAGCAAATAGGGTTTGTTCGGTGCAATGATTGTTTTCTTTAATTGATAATTTGGAAATCAATTCGAAGAATGATATTATCAATGCTATTGTGTGCACTCCGATATGGTACATTTGGAGATTTAAGAATGATTTGTTGTTTGGAACAGACCGATTGAAGAAATGTAATATTTTTTATTCAATTAAAGAGTTCTCTTTTATTTGATATTCTAGCAGAAATAGGAAAATGTTTGTTTAAGTTGGGTTAATTGGTTAGAATTCCATCTAAACCCTTTGTAATTGATTCTTTGCTCCATTTTTTTTGGTAGAGTTTTTTCTTTTTATATATGGATGGTTGTTTCTAAAAAAACATTAATGTAAACTTAATTATAAAACATGATCTATCTCCATGAGTATTTTATACACCGCAATATTGTCTCAATGATTTCATAATAACTACCAAACTTGTAGAAATCCATCACAAATGAATCAAAAAGAAGATAATACTAATTATCTTATATGCTCGATCAACAAGAATTACAAGGAGAATGTTACCTTTTTGCATTCACTTGTACTTAAATTCCTATATAAACATCCACACACTAGTGAACTCGACATGTTTGATGTCATAAATTACAAGGGATGTTATGTCCTAATCATATCATACATATATGTTCGATACATATTGACAAAACCATATTGAAAATTGATGAAATTTTGATTAAACACATAGAAGTATGAGAATAATATGAAATAGAAATACCATGTTGATTGGTGCGTTGGTGGCCAACTACAGTGTCTTGCAACCATCATTTGATTTCTGTTGAAAATCGAGCTTGCCACCATCGTTGATAACGGATTTGTATCTCAAAAACAGAAGGATGTGTCATTATGAAGGGAGGCTTAGACCGGAGGGATGGTGTCGCCGAAGGGATGTTACCTGTCGGTAAGGGATTAATGAGATTAACCTATTTAGTTTTTTTCCTCTTAAAAATTACATTAAATTGAGAAATATTTCTATGTTTATTTACCCACAAGATGCCGTTAGAGGTCTTTGAGTGATTTTATTCCAATAATTTTTTATTTTATTATATCGCTTCAAATTAATTACAAATTTGTAAATCAACTTGATATAAAAATTATTATTTCATAATTAATATAATAGCATAATTATTTATAATAATTTTTTTATCAAAAAATTTAATCACATACGATATGCATTTATTTAATTAATTAAAAACATATATTTAATTAATTAAAAACATACTAAAAGGTTAGTTGATAACTTATGCTTAACCCAAAGACAAAATTGCAAGAATAGTCCCTGTCGTTAGGTCGAAATTGCCACTTTGAGCCAAACAGGTTTTGACTAGCACTCATGGTCCAGCACTCATGGTCCAAAGGTTTTCATTTTTTTGTCACTTTGGTCCAATTTACTTTAAACTTTTTTATAATGACTATTTTGCCCTTGGTATTTGCTTTTTCAGTTTTTATTTATTTATTTAAATACTTTTATAATTAAAAGAAAATAAAAAATACATCTATCTCTTTCTCCCCTTCTATTCTCCTCCACTAGTCAACCACTAGCAGCACCATCGGTTACCACCGCCACCACCGTCGACTTTTCGGTAAACACCGCCACCACCGGTGAATACCTCTCTTTCCCTCCATCACCTGCCGGAAAAATATGAACAGCCACCACTTTCACATGCCGAAAACCACCGCCACTCTCTCTCTCTCTCTCTCTCTCCCCTCTCTCTCCTGATGAACCCACAGTCTTTCTCCAGATTTTCTAACATACAAGAATACAAAAAAATCTGAAATTTAACATACATGAACACATAGAAACAGAAATGTTGATCGGAGATCGGAGCTACAAACTTTGCTTGGTCCGTTATCACTTCAAACCTTCACAAATGTAGATCGATCTTCTGCCTTGTATCACCGTCTTCGCCTATAAAACCCTAATCGTTCTTCTGCCTCCTATCGCCACCGCCCTTCGTGGTGAAACCCTTGGTAGTTTTTATGCCTCTGATCTATGAAAGGGAATTCAAACGACTAGACGATAAGGGAGGTCCGAAGATCTGTTTGTGGTGAAGGGGTGAAGCAAGAAAGGAGAGAGACGCTCAAACCCGACAACGTCGCTCAAACCTTTACGTTGGCGGCTAGGGTTTTCATATGGATTGTCCTCTATGTCCTCTGCTCCGATGACTACTTCACCTCTGCAAACCCTACATCGACGAACACGAAGAAAAATCCGGCTCAGTTCGTCCCTCTTTCCCAGTTTGTCCTTCACCTTCATCGCCTTCGTCGAGTCGCATATGGAGTGTATGTGTTTGCTTTGAGATCTGAAGAAGAAACGATGTGATGCAAACCCTAGCAACGTCGAAACCCCCTCGTTCCAGCCGCCACCATCGCCTCTTTAAACCCTAACTTTGTATTTCCCCTTCTCCAGCGATGGTGCCTTCTCATCAGATCTTGAAGAAGAAAACCCTAGTTTCGAATCAGAAGGGTGGCGGTGCTAGGGTTTCGTAAAAGTAACGTTCAAAACAGATTGATGATGGTGGTGTGGGAATCAGATCAGGTTCAAAGGTTGCATAGTCGTGGTGGCGGCCAAGAGTTAACAGAAGAAAGGAAGAAGGCGTCAGAGGTTGGTGAGGGCGGCGGTGATGGCGGATAGTGGTGGCAGTTAGGGTGTTATTGTGTGTGTGTTTCCCTAAGAGAGAGAGAAAGAGAGGTGACGGGTGAGGAGATGAGAGGTTCCACCACAGAGAGAGAGAGAGAGAAAGAAAGCATTTTTATTTTCTTTTTTTATTTATTTTGTAAAAAAATTGAAAAAACAAAATACAAAGGGAAAAATCGTCATTTAAAACCATAATGGACCAAACTCGCAACAAAATAAAACTTTTTGGACCATTGGTGCTAGTCCAAACCTGTTTGGCCCAAAATGGCATTTTTCGACATACCACAAGGACCATTCTTGCAATTTTGTCTAACCCAAAAGAAAACAAGTAGAAAGTTGGGTCGTCATATTACATTTCAACAATATCTTAGGGACTGTGTTTGTAATCACTCTAAAGTATAGAATCCAAAGGGGGCTATTTTCCCCCCTGTATCTATCAGGCTATCGCCACTGCCGATATATAAAATTTCTCCGGCGTTCTTCTTCTTCACAACCACCTCCGTCAATCTCACTATCTTTCGTTCCCTGCCCACCTCGATCAAACGCCTGATTTGAGTTTTTTGGCGGATAAACGAGTCAAATTTTACTAGGGTTCACTCTAAGGGTTCAGATTTCGCGCACAGAAGACGATTTGGCATTCAAGTTAAACGAATTTGGTAACTTGGATACTATAGTCTAGAGATATTGGTGTGGCCCAGGTTATATTTGTAACGTGTTTGTACAAAATTTCTGTTGTCTTATGGTAGTGCGTATTTTGAGACTGTATCAGGGTGTTAGAAAGTGATCTTTATTCTACAACATAAGGGTTTATTGATTGAATTCATGGAGTCTGATAAAGAGGATGTCGTTTTTCTCGATCGAGCTTCTCGGGCAACGAGAGGAAGACGGTAAGCGTCGAATTTCTGCAACTTTGATATGGATACGATTATGTACATCGATTGTGCTCTTGAAGTATTCGTTAAAACGCATTTGGTTTGAGTACTACAAAACACTGGATTATGCTCTTTTGTACAATTTAACTCGTTGATTGTGGATTTTGACTGTTATTGTAGGATGACCAAATTGGTTGATGAGGAGATTGAAGAAGATGATGAGTTCTGGAACCAAGAAGCTTTGAAAGATGTAATAAACTAAGTGTGATTTGAGTTGTACCACTTACATGATCTGTTCTTCATTGTCTCACACCATGGTGCTTTATTTTTAGGAAGAAGATGATACAAACTACGTAGAAGAAAAGGAGGTTGCAGATGTTTTTGACAGTGACTTTGATGAAGATGTATGTGTAATATGGTTCGCCATGATTTGAATTTCTATTTGAATATGGGTTGATTTTATGACCAATTACTTGCTTTGACTACAGGAACCAGAGCCAGAGGAAGAAGCAGAAAACGAGCCAGATGAAAGGTTAAATTTCTCTAGTGAATATTATAAACTGGAATAAGAAAAAAAAATCTTGAATGTAAGTTTTTATACAGGAAGAGGCCAAAGAAGAGATTGGCATTTCCAGGAAAGCAATTGCCAAAAAAGAAGAAGAAGAAGGTTGTTTCAGAACCTGATAGTTCTAATGAGGAAGAAACAAATGTTGACCAGTTAACGCCCCAAGAAGAGCATGAAGTTCCTGATGATACAGAAGTTGAGAAAACAACCAGAAAGTCAACAAGAACTTCAGTTATTGTTAGGCAAGCTGAAAGAGATGCAATACGTGCAGCACTTCAAGCAACAATGAAGGTTGATCATTTTTCTTCTTGTTCTTTGGTTTACCAGGATGAATATTGTATTTATGTAGTTATGTTACAAATTCTTAGCCAATAAAAAGGAAAAAGGAAGGTGAGGAAAAGAGAATGACCCAAGAAGAGATGCTTCTGGAAGCTGCTCAAACAGGTTTTTTAACACATAAATTTATTGAAATAACTCGGAATAATAAGTAACAATAGTAAAGATTTGTGAGTTTTATGAGTATGTAAAATTTTGCAGAAATTATGAACTTGAGGAACTTAGAACGGGTGTTGGCAAGGGAGGAAGAAGTAAAAAAAAGAGCAATTGTTCATAAAGCTCACTACACCGGCCCTCAGATACGATATCTTTCTAAAGATGGCAAGTTATCTGGATAAAAAAAAAGAGAGCAATTGTCCAATTTTAAAAAAAAAAAAATAATATGATAATATTCCTGATTCCTTTTCAGGTTATACATACCTTGAATTTACTAATGGGGTGTCATTTCAATCACAGATTCCTACATCAGCCCCACCATGTGAGTAGTTGTGTGCATATGAAATTAACATTAAACCGACCTCTTTTATTTTTTTTAATGATGCTAATTTTGATATATGTTTTATATATTTTTTCAAGATCCAGAGAAAGCTGTTTGTGTAGTTACAGGATTACCTGCAAAGTAAGCTTTTTCTTTTTTGTTCTTTTTCAAAAGGTCGATCAAGATTGACGAGTCAATGATTTTGTGTTTCATTTGTTTATGACAGATATCGTGATCCTAAGACAGGTTTGCCTTATGCGACAAAAGAGGCTTTTAAGATTATTCGTGAAAAGTAAGGGTTTTTTTTTAATGAAGTTGTTACAAACTCAATAAAATGCTGTGTTTGTTGAAAAAACTAAAAACCTTGTGTAGGTATATGAATGATGGGAGTGGGATTAAAGAGAAGAATAGCATGGGAGTGGTTTATGAATTGGCTTGTGGGGAAGGAGGAGGTTTCAGAAACAAGAAGAGGAGAACAGTGAATCCAAACAGCAAAGAGAAGTCTTATATGAGATCATTGGCTCGTTTTCGCCAGATTCCAGCTTTCGAATACCAAGACTCTGAATGACACTGCAAACATGGAGAGCTTTTTGCATTTTTTGAAGATGGCTTGGCTTCTAATGTATTTGAGTTGAGTTTCAGAAATGGCTGGAAAAAGAAAGGCGGATCATGATTCATGATTATCAATTTTAGAGGGAAGTTTTAGTATATGCATTCTTGTATTGGTAGTGATTGATTCAGTCTTTTGGTTTCTACCAAAAGGCCTCTCATCTCTTCTCTTATGTGCGTGCACACATGGTGACAAGTACAAGAATAAATTACAGTTTTTGTTCTTGTGTGCTATCGTTTTTTCCTTGTATAAATTTGCATCTCTTATATTTCAATCTGTTGCTGCTTTTACTAATTTTAATCTATTGCTGTTAGTTTTGTAAAAGACTGAAATAGGTTTTGTAGCGTTTGGGAATGCTATGGTGGTCTTCAAGAAACCCTAAGTTAGTATGATCTTGGGGTTGATTTGGATAAGAATGATGGATTGTTACTTTTTAAGCTTGGGTTTTCTTTAATTTGTTCTTTGTACTTTTAAAGGTGGTTGAAGATTAGAAAATGAAGCAAGATTGTCTTTTAGGCTATGGGGTATCTTCACTTGTGAAATACAAGCCATTTCACAACGTTGAAATATAAACAAAAGTAGAAAACTGTACTTGTACATATTTTGTCTTCAGTAAAACACCAATTCAGTTCAATAAAGGTGGTCAAAGGTTTGAAAGTAAATAATTTATTTACATAAATTATTAGATTTTTGGCTGAAGGGCACCAATCTAACAGCACAAAACACATGTTGATTTTGATGTCTAATAAAACAATTTATTTATATATAAAAAATGTAAACAAAAACACCAAAAAGAGATGCTTACTGGGCCAGTTGCAAATTTTGTTAATAGAACAAAAAGTAGGTGTTCTCAAGAAACTACAGCATACATCTCTATAAGGAATGAAGAAATGTAAAATGTAAATACATTTTCTCCGGCAAAAAGTCAAAGAAAGACTTCAGGAGCACCAGTAGCAGTAGTAGTATTATTATACGGTACCTAAAGCTGTAAAAGTTGTTCAAGATTTAACCACCTTCCCTGTACAATCATATTCTTTCTATCATCTCCACTAACTCCCTCCCAGGTAATCACCAAAAATGGAACCCAACTCATGCATCTACCAGTCCTTACACCATTATAATTATCGTATATGTTGTTCAAATATAATGGTGATTTTTGCATTTGGTATACATACAGTCTTACTCATCACATAGAATAATAGAATATCTACTTCACTAGAGTGTCTATGTCTTTACCTGAAAATGTACAAATCATAATTATTATTATCATCATTACTGGTTGGTGGTTAGTAAGACTAAGACATACCTTTTGATCTATTTCTTGTTGTCTTTTCAGCTTCAACATTTTCTAAATGAGGAGCAATTAACAAATCCAATTTCACCAGCCACAATGCAACCGCAGATGATGTTTGTGGCATACATCCAAAACTTGTAATCACATCATCCAAATCATAATCCCCCTCACTTCCATACAACCACCCCTTATTGATCGCACCAACAAAATCACCAAGAACCTACATAAGATTATATATAAAAATTAAATTTTATATATAATATATGTAATATAAGTCCACTGAGTTTTTTTTAAAAGTACCTGTAGCAACTCCACCAGAGTTGAAGTACGTCTTAACCGCTTCACCCATAGATTATGAGCACATTTTGTCCAAGCACCCACCATCGCACCCTCAGGCATACATGACTACATTTACATATACAAATTATAAAAATGAAAAAATCAATCAAACAAATATAGTTCTATGACTCACCTCAAGTGTGTATGCTGCAGCCTTGAGTGACTGTAACTGTGATGACAACACTTTATGTTTCGGAAACATATCGGGTGCTGACTCATCCCGACACGTGGCAGCATGAATCGCGTATCTTTCTTCCAAATCAAAATCAACCTCAAACGTCGTATGACAAATCCTACAATGTTTCTCATCTCTCCAAAACAAATCATGACACCTTTCACACCTTGCAAGTGAATCAAGAAACGATTTTTTCCCATGTTTCACAGCATTAAGAACAGAATGAAACGAATCCCATAACCAGACATCAAACTGTTGAAGGCGACACCATTTCTGTTTAGCTTGTTCCCTGTTTCCAACAGTGCTGGTGGAAACAAGATTATTATTATTATTATTATTATTATTATTATTATCTATATTTAGGACACCCAGTAGGTTGTCCACGTCAGACACAGCAGATGAGCTGTCGTCTCGGGAAATACTCCTTTCAGATTCAGACGAAAGGGCAGGCTGCCCGTGCCCGACTCTTGCATCACTTGACATGGCTTCATAAAGAAGAGCTGCCCGTTTCTCCAAAGATGAAAGAAGATGACCCTCTCTCCTTCCCCTTTGATCCAAACATGATAACAAGTTGGCTAATGCCTGTGACAAGTGTACAATTTTTATATTTATTTTTCTTCGATTAAGAAAATAAAAAAATAAAAAAAGGTACCTCTTCTGTTTCGATAACCTCCCAATGACCATCTTCAGATGATTCAAAGTAAATCCTTTTGTGGCCTGGATCACATGTGGTACACGGGCCCACGAAAAGCCAGTATCGATTATACCTACGATCGGATCCCAAAAATATTGATTGCATAGGATGTAAATCATTTATAACTTCTATTTCTGTTGCATTTTGGATTAATGAGTTAATTGCTGATGAATCAACAGGTTGCATATCTTGCATTTCATCTTTCTCACTATGAATCAGCTGGTTGAACTCGTTCTCAAGTTGCTTTGATGTTGATCTCTTTATTTTTGCTCCAGATCCAATATGATGAACATTGGGAGGAACACACTGAACACCCGATAATGATGATGATGATGATACAGGTTCCTGAAAGATCATATGTATAATGAGCTGATTTATGAATTATGATGCACTAAATTTGAAAATACTATGAAAAGAATTATATTAGTCAACTTACCTCTATTCTTATACTGGAACCCGCTTTTAATAGATCAATCAGAGCCAAAAGAGCATTCAATTTCTCTTCAATATTTAAATCTGAATATTCACCTTCCATCAGTCCAGATAACCACATTTCTCCTGGATGACTCTCGTCGATTTCAGAGGTTACAGTTAAAATGTTGTCTTTGCTTTTAAGGTTCTTTTGTCCATTTTCACTTGACATTAATGCCCCTGAATCATTGGGATTATCATCCACACTACCACAGTCTTCAAGGTCAGATTGGTCATCTTCAGTATCCTTAACAATGGAGTTGCTACGAACACGATAAGCAGAAGAAGAGATTTTCTCAAATAAGGTGATGTCACTTGACAACATTGAGCTTATCAATTGCTCAATGTCTTCAGTCGTGGTTGCAAGCTTCAATCCAATGATCTTCATGATTAAAAATGAAGTTATTAGATTAAATATTCAGTGAAACTGACAAGAAAAGATGTGGTAAGTTACTAATTACTTACTGATGGAAATGTAGCCAATTCGGAAATTTTCATCCCATTATTTCCTTTTGATGATAATATTGTGAATAATTCGCCCTTCAGAGTACCTGGGCTTAAGCCATAACTAGCCATCAGAGCAGCTTCCTGTGAATCAAATCAAATAGTTTTTGTATGTGAGAGATGATGTGTCATGTTTTTAACAAAAGCCAGCTAATATTCTGAATTTTTTTATTACCTTATTATGAGGTTCCTTGGATGACATGTCACGTTTTGAACCAAAGCCAGCTGAGACCAACACCTGGCGTAGTATCTCTATCCATGTCAGCGAATTTAAGGATCTTTTCCATAGTTTCAGAACAGATTCTTGACGTTCAACCTGCCAACAGACATGTTATAATAAGAATCATTAATGCAATAGGTTCTTTTTGGAAATTACTATATCGCCCTCTATGACACTTACTGACTGAAGCAATCCACGATACTTCCAGTTTTTGATGATATGAGATAGATATCCACTTTCTAGTTCCTTTTCAACACCAGTGAGAAGCAGTTTCAGAAGGGCTACATTAAGTTTCCCAAGTAACAAGGAATCCTGAAAAAATAAGCACAAAGAACAAAATATAAATCCTTACTATAAAAAAGTTCATTGAGTTGATATATCATATAGTGAGTAGAAACCTTATCATAACTTTCCAACACAATAAGCACTAACCTTGTCTATAAATGCTTGCGCCAGCTCATCAAGCGTGAAGGACTGGATACCGATTATTACAGCATAAGTGCTTATAAAGTGAAATATCTGCTAACAAGAGTCAGGTTAGTAAGAATAAACTTAACCCTATTTTTCATTGAAATTGGATATACAATCTAATATTTGTTTAAGGACCTGAAATGTTACCTTGAAAAGTTTTTTGACAAGTAGTGGAGAAGAATCCCATGGTTGGATATGTAATGGTTGCTTCATTCGGATAGAGTTTGGAGGGAACTTTGCCAGTAAATCTACACCAAATTAAGAGCAATAAATTCACTTTGAAAGGTTTAATCAAGAAAAAGAAATGAAATGAGTACTAAGAAAGCAGCTAAATGAACCAGACCTTTGCAAAGGGAACAACCATGCAACCTATTGGCTGCACAATGAGCACAACATGTTAATGGATTTGATGTTGCTTGTAGTTCTCTTAGTTCCAGCTCCTCATCATCTTCTAGCATAGCATATTGACTTAGGTCTTCTTCGTTTCTCCCTTCATTCAGAGCAATTTCACATATTTCTCTCCCTTGTTGCTTTTCCTTACTAACTTGTTCGCATCTCACCTTCAGTTTTTAAAACAAGTCAATGATAACTGGCAAGCAATATAGCAGATACTTCCATCAATGTATATTAAATTACCTTTCTACTTCTAGTTGAAGACTTCTTCTCTGGTAACTTGTTCACTAACCTCCTCTGCAAATGAATCACTGTCAGTTGTCATGCTAGAAGAAACAAGAACAATATCTAGAAAAGAAGACAAACCGTGACAGGTTGTTGTTTTCTTGACTTCTTTTTCAATTGAATAGGTGGTTTTTGTGATGTAAAAGGTGGAAACTGAGAACAAGCTCCATGGTCATTGTCAACACATGTTGGAAGGTTTCCAGAACCAGGATTTATTAACCTCTGAATTGTCATCAAGCCTTTTCCAACACCATGTTTCTTCACTGGATTAGTATCCTGGTTTGTAAGTCGCCATACTGTCATCAAACCTTTTCCCATACCATGTTTAACTGGGGCACTATCAAGAGGGGTAGTTTGGTCCTCAACATTGGTAGGCTTCAAAGTCTATGATAATTAAAAAAAATGACATCTTTAGATCAAAACTACAATAAAACAGATGATTTGACAGCATGATACCAACTGAACAAAAAGAGATATACTCTATGTACCTTTTGCCTTTTAAATGCTCTTTGTTTTTCTTGGCAAGCACGATGTGACATCCCTGAATCTGGTAAGAACAAATAAAAGATTTCACAATTAACTAGGA